ATTCTCAGCGTGAAACCTATTTTTTGTTGAAACCTGATGCCCCCAAAACCAATGCCTGTCATGTCAAAGATGTTGTCAACATTGAACCTTTTTTTGTTTGACACAATACCCTCCAAATGGATGCCTTTTGTGACAGCTGGTGTTAATGCGAAACCTTTTCTTGTTTCACATGATGCTCCCCACATGGATGCCTTTTCTGTCAAAGATAATGTCAACATTGAATCCTTTTTGTTTGACATATTGCCCCTGAAATAGATGATGGCAGATGTTCTCAATGTCAACCCCTTGTTTTGTTCGTCCAAGTTTTGGAAAAGACGCTCTGAACTTTGAAAACCCTTTTGACAGAGACATTCTGCATGCAAAATGCTCGTCTGCCTTGTGAAACAAAGGCCCCCCCGAATGAGCTCGTGCCTTGTTTTCTGGGGTGAAGAATAAACTGTCCGCCGACATATTCAAAATCATTTTCAGTGCTTCTGACTTTTTCACGTGGCTCTGGCTGTATATCCCGACCCTGCAAAATCATTCCAAAATGTAGCCTCAGCCTGGAGATATGGAACACAATCGATAGGTTCCCAAAGCTATTCTTTCGGGCAATTTATCAGGGCCAGTGACCAGAACATTATATAAGCATATTTTGCTTAGGCAGTTTGCACATGTTACCAGCGTGCCCGATAGGACACCCAGTTATTTGATTTTGATATTTTGATGAGAAGAAAAGATCGCCATTTTTCCACCGAACCAAGCGAACAAGTCTCTGCAACGAGGCGGAAAGCAAAAACTCTGCACGACCCCAGCAGTTTCAGGCCACCAGGAGGAAACTCAGATGCGTTCATGGAGGCGCCTGTGTAGAGGCCACAAAGATCGACTTGTTCGGCTGTTCGATCCAGTCCCAAACGTATGGGAACAGATCACTCGAGTCTTATAGTCTTATCTCGTTTTTGAGGTGGCTAACCACCATTGCAGGGGTATTTTTCTTCCTGTCTATTCGAGTAGGGCGAAAAAAACGCTGCAATTGTTAACTGGTTAGTGGTTTGACTCATATTTTCCATCTTCCATCCATACTTGGGATTGAATCTGCCAAACATGGGAGTTTCCGACCAGCTATGGGGATTGAAGCTGCCAAAATGGCAGACATGGAAATGGTGGATCCATTGGGATGCTATTTCAGCTTCATCCAAGCGCTTCTGCACTGAAGCAAACAGAAAAAGAATATGTCCATCCTTGTTGCAGCCAAGACTTTTCGTTTTTTTCGAGGATCGAGTCTGAACATTGCCAGGCGGTGCGCTTGGCCTTCGTTACTTGGCGAAGGCGCCTTCCTGGCCCACCTCATCAGAGATGCTGTTCAGATTTGATATGGATTTGAAGAGGCTTCAACAGTGAGCATTGATTATCATTGATTTAGGTTCCAAAAGTTATCTTTTGAACTATCGAGATCACATGGGCATTATAGTTACAAGATGTTACAAAGACTTAAAAGAGTTGGATTAAATTGGATTCTTAATCATTAAAGAGCCCTTGACCGTGCCAGGCCCATGGCCCACTTTGACGCCGTCTCCTCACCTTGAACGCCCAAAAGCGGCGTTGCAGCATCTGAGGACGTGAAGACGAATAACTTGTAGTAATCCCAAAACGTTGGGGAAGAACAGCACTCCAGGGATTCCAGGAAAAATCCAAAGACTCAAAGAGGCAAGTTTAAGAGCAGCACTTCAAGAGGAGGACAGTCGAGGACAGTGCCAACACTGCACCAATCAGAAAAAATCTTCACTTTACTGATGATGTGCCGCAGCATTTTAAACAGCCTGACAGAAGCTTGCACCCTGCAAGCGCATGCATCGGAAATGCTCCATATAGACAACGACCACCGACATCTACTGACGAAACCAGTTGGAATCACATTAGTTGACGCATGTATCGAGGGAACCCAGTGGAAACCAATCAGAAGTCCAAGAAGATTTGACCAAAATTGGATTTTAACATGAATCTCTGCAAGCTGCTGCTGGGTGCATGTTAGATGTCACATGGGTTGCACACACTTTGCATAGGCATATACAGTCCACCACACGCACTCTTGCATCAACTTTAACGAGCCATATGAATGGAACAAACTATAGATAGCATCCTTCTTTTTGTTCCGTTCAATTAACTGCTGCATCGCCAGTTAATCAGCAGATTTAAGGAAGTCAGACATTCGCGTTGGGTGGGGATTTCCCCCTTCAAAGCTTCAACATGTCTGGATCCAGCGTTCAAACAAGGTTCTCACAGGCTTGCACTGCCAAGCGCCCGTTTTGCCGTTGCACCTCCTGCCTTCCGGTCCCTGCGTCAGCCGGGGGTGCCCAGTCAAGGTGCATCAGAACCGTCTTTGCAGAGCAGGTAGTATCGCATAGGGCTGTATTCGAAAGATCGATTGAAAGATTCCGGGTGGGAATCAGAGCCCTAGAAGATGCGCGCATTTCAGATCGCGTGCTTGAATGGGAATAGACGCGCAGGTTGACTTTATCATCCTATTGGGCTTTGAGTTTTAGTTGGGGATAGTTGGGGCATGTCTTCGGTGTGCTGCGCAATGAAAAAGCTCAGAATTTGATAAGAAACCCGGTGTTTGCGGTGCTCGTGCTGTCCCCATGGGTTGCTGCTTGTTGCCTCGAGGTCAGGGCAAGGGCTCATTCAACCCACCAAGCAGACCCCGTTTCGAGCGTTTTCGCCATCGGCTTCAGCCGGAGCCTAAAACTGGTTCATTTCTCTCTTTTCTGGTACAGTTTGCTGATCAAAGGGTTGAAGTTGAATTCACAGAGGACTAGAAAGACTGAAGGGCAGCTGCCTGGATCGGCCTTGTCTTCCTTTCGATGGCGTTGAGGTCGTCACGATGGGCTGCTGTATTGGTGCGAGAACTTCCCAGGCTGAGGCGGGAGACCAGGAATTCCATTTAAGTTCGAGATATCACAGCCTGAGAGTGTGATGGGTTTGGCTTTACTTACGACATGGACGGACAACATGTTTTTGTTTTGATCCCGAAGCCTTTACGTCATACAAACCATGGCCGCCTCAGAAATAATTATTACACCCAAAAAAGTGTGAAGATATGTCAAGATATGTGTAATGAGATATTACACAGGTATAAGATTGGTTGATCTACATGCTCAAATCTATCTGGTTTCAACAAGTTCACTGGCGGTCGATTGTTTCGAGGACATGTCGCCGTTCGCAGCGAGCAACTTCGATAGCCCGACGGCTGCCCAGACAGAGGAGGCAGGAAAACGGGCAGTGAATGCCACTTTTGCACGACTTCCTGCGGCGTTCAGTTGCAACTTGGAAACGTGTCAACCACTGATGGAGTTTGCCCGTCTTCTTGCAAGTCAAATGATTTTTTCTCAATTCCGCAGATGCCTATCATGCAAGGTGCAGATGGACCAGCCCTCCGCATCAAGGGCAGAACGTGGAACCAAAGCGAAGATCGAGGCCCAATTGCTTTCCAACTGGGATTTCCTGTGGATGCGTTGTGAACAAGACCTCTGTGGAAGTTCTTTTCTTGAGCAGGCTGACGTGGATCCAGGAGAGATTGAAGTGGTAGAGGCTACATCCTGGCCTGGCTTCAACTCAACCTTTCAGTTTCCAAGTTTTTATCAAACGTGATGAGATACAAGAAGAGGAAAGTATTCTCACCACAGCAATGGCGAGTTGAACAGACAGTTGTCCACTTTTCAAGTCTTCAGGTCTCAAGAAACGGCACATTCCACAATCACAAATTTCATTGAGCTCGTCTTTTCACCCGTTGAAACTCCGATGTTAATGACCTTTACACTTGACAACTGATGTTGTGCAAACCAAAGTGGACCTTTTCGATGTGTGTCTTCCAGCGTCTTTATTGCGGCAAGCTCTTATACTGGTTCAAAGGAGGGCCTATGATACCATGACCAGTAGGATATTTCCAGTCGAAGCAGTTAACTGCCTGTGGAATGAAGCTGCACGGACAAGTCATGACTATGGGTTTCTAGAAACGGGCTCGATGCCTCAGGCCAGTCTCAGAGAGTATTTCCTGAAGCACTACAAGGGCGGCGGTGTCTTCAAGCACGACGGCTACGAACACAATGCCACCGAATGGTGCTGGATCCACAAGAGCTCCGGCATCAAGGCGCAGCCGTCGCGATTTGACGCATTTCGTCCTGCCACGCTGTGACGCAGCAGACTCGCTCCAACCCCCCAGCAGCAGCTCCTGGCAGGTCTGGCAGGATGCCCTAGACCTCACCCAGTCTGGTGAAAGTGGCGAAGTGCACTGCTACTTCCATTATACGACTCAAGTAGGGTTTCGGAACATCACGGCTCCAAGCAAGAAAGCCGTTGAAGTCTTCGTGCTGCACTCAGTCACCAATCAACATGTCATGTGATGTCATGTGTTTTTGTGCCCGCTCACCTTCCCGATGGCCACAGCCCTGAGCATCCGAAGGCCTCTTTGCTCACCAGTGGTCCGAAGGCCAATGCCTGGTGGGGACAAGGCAAGGTCAGTCGTGTGTGTGCGTGCATCACAACTGAGAAAACGTGAGCAATTGCAGACCTTTGTGTCCATTGCAAACATCTCTGATGAGGAGTATATAGTGTGCGAAGAGCACCCGATGAGTGGCCAGACGTGGCAACACTGGTCGACAACAACTACCGCAACATGCACGCGAGAGACGTGAAAACGAAAGGCCGTGAGGCCGCGGACGAGGAGAGTGTGCCTTTCTTAGGCGCAACATTGCCCACAGTTTTGATTCAATTTTTGGATGTGGACATCGTCAGTGTTTGGAGATTAACACACCTAGATCCAGTCATGCAGGAGTACGCCTCCCGTGTCGCCTACTGTATTCCACTCTTGGCAAACTCTGCCATATGCTACGATGTTGCGGCTCAACAGACGCCGGAGATGCAGAAGGAGGCTGGTAGCATGCTTTGCCTGGAGCTAAACCGATCTTGTGTGGACATTTTCTGCAGCATTTGGCTTGTGACTCATCTTTGCTCTGCGGGGCCAGGGCAAGCCTCCCGGCGTGCCAGGGGCCCAGTCGCTGAGTGCTTCGAAATCTGTTGAACACGCCATTTAGACGTTGCTTTTAAGCCCCGTGGCGCAGGAATCTGGCAGACAAGTTGCTGAATGAACCTGGTCAGCCAGAGAGGCAGTGCGTGGTGATCAGGGTGGAAACAGAGGACGAAGTGGGCCACGCCAGCGCAGTGCTGCTGGACACGAAGCCTGGCTGCTTTCAGGGGCTTGGAACTTGGGTCTTGAGTCGGCTTGCAATCCAGGGTTACGGCCCTTCAATCCAGGGGTTTTGGCCCTTTGGGCTTGCCATATCCAGGGGTTAGGTTTTGTCCAGTAGGATTAAATCAGGTGGGGTGAGTTCAAACTTCTATTGGAAAATTACCCAGAGGGCTGACAAGTTTTTCGCTTTTGATGAAGTCTCAAGTTCGAGATGCACACAGGTCCCTGTGAGAGATTTGGACCAGAACCAGCATGATTTCAAAAGTGTCAAGTGTTTTTGATGCAGCCCTGCGGACTGTTTCAGCTGCTCTCTTGCTCTCATCTTGCCTTTCCGAATTCCTTCTTCCAGGATCTCTGGTCATGTCGCTCCCTGGCAAGTTTATGGAACCTTTCCTTTGGGTCAAAGTATAATGGTCGTGGCAGGATACAGGATACCAAACAGAAGCCACGAAGCTCAAGCTCTGTTTCGAGAGCCGGCACGCTTGTCAATCCAATATTTTGCACTCCAGATCTAGAAAGCTCAAGCGCAACATAAAAGCATCGTTTTGTCCTGGCTCGGGCCTTGTCCTGCACTTGAAAGTATCAGGGAGTAAAGGCATGGAGCAGAATCGCTTGATGTTTGATCTTGATGTTTGATCTTGCCACCAGAACATTCACTTTAAGATGTGGAGAAGGCGTGCACTCAGGTTCTGGAACTTTGAAACTCCCTCAGGAGTGCACGCACGACACTTCCTTCTGAGATTTCTTGAGTACGGTCCACTTCGACTTTTGTAGTATATCAGCTATATTCGTCCATGCCATGTCTATTGATTATGTTAAAAGTTGACTTGAATCTTCCCGCTCCATGTAGGACACACGTCTGCCAATTCAAAAAACTTGCCCCCCGCCCTCACGCGTAAAAACATCTGGTTGAAGATCCCGCATTTGAAGCAGGGGCCATCGATTGCAGCCCAGTAGCCAGGGAGCTTCTGACTGAAGCCGGAAGCTTTCCCACACCTTGACGATTTTGCGTACCGTTGGCCATTCTCTTGAACTTGATTTGTCTTCCATGTTGGTGACATGGTCGACCACCGCATTGCCATGTGATAATAGGCATCATCATGGACCAAGGCTGCGGTGCCGTGCAGATGCTACAGCTGAAAGATTGGGCCCTGAGCACGGCAAAGCGCTTTTGGCACTGAGCCGGTGCGGATCTCAGTCCCTCCAAAGAGACCAACACACTAGCAAACATGTATTTGTTGAATTTGTTGAGTCAAGAACTGTATTGTCTTGTCACCAGAGATTTGCATCCAGAGATGCCACAAAGCTGCAAAGTGAAAGCTGTAGATTGCAGTAGGCAACAGTATTTGCAACAAGCATCAAATAGCATCAAACAGCATCAAAAAGTATAGCCTATAGCAACTGCTCAAGTGAAATCAAAACAGTTCGAATCCCAGAATCTTGTTTTCTCACCAGGGACTTGGATCCAAAAATATGCCACGACACCACAACTAGTGAAAAAAGTGCCCTCTCTCCACGGAGCCGTGGGGAACTTTTCGGCTCCCGTGGCGATCCACGGTCGAGGCTCGCCCGGGTGCTGGAGGCCCGCGGCACCTTCGCGGAGGCCGAGCCGCTGCGGCGCCGAGTCCTGGACGCCTACGAGCGCCTGCTGGGCCCCGAGCACCGCAACACGCTCGCCGCGGTGGGCAACTTGGCGTTCGTTCTGAAGGAGCTGGGGAAGTTCAGCGAGGCGCCGCTGATGTGCTGTGCTGCAGTCACCGTGGCGGGTGGATGGTGCTGCATTTTGTGTTGGGAAAAGTTGGGAAAAGTGCAGGGAAACAATCAACGCATTTTCAGATCATCTCAGAATTTGTCATCTATGTAGAAGTGCGAGAATGCATGAACATGACAATTTTACGCAAATCATCTCAAATCATCTCAAATCATGTCATGTATGGACGTGCCAAAACATGGACATGTCAAAGTTTGGCAAAAGATGTTTGCAAAGAACAGATGCCGCGTTGCAAGTTTCAGTCTGAGATGTCTGAGGCTGTCAAAGCGTTTTTGCAAAAAAAATCACAGAACAGAGGCACTCTGAGGTTGGAGTTTATTTGCAAATGGAAGATTGGGACGAAGATGACACACATCCAAATTATGTTGAAATGTCAACTCGTCGAACTTTGCGTTTTATTCTTCAAGTTTTGAATGATGAGTGCATTTACATGGTATAAATGTCCAAAGCCTCCCCAAAACGGGGTACGGCAAGAGCACAGCCAGGCGCAGACCCAGAAAAGGTCCGGCGGAGCAAAAAAAAAATAAAAAAAAAAATGTCCAAACATCTTTTTCATCAGTCCAAACTCAAGGCCGTTGCCCACCTTTCTTCCCTTTCCACATGGTACTCGCAGGCGGACCCAGGCCTGGGGCCCGACTCCACCGGTGCCATCCCGAGATGCCAGGCGGAGGCCCTGCACCGCCGAGCTCTTGCAGGGTGCGAAGCGCACCTCGGTGCGAATCACCCGGACACGCTCAACTCCATGAACAACCTTGCCGAGCTCCTGCGGCAGCAGGGGAAGCTGGCTGAGGCTGGGCTGAGGTCTTTCGTGAAGAGAGGTGGTGACCTTCCTGGAGGAAGTTTTTCAGGGGTATATTTTTTGTGTGGCCAAGGCCTGAGGCCTGGATTCTTTCTTTTCGATTTCCCAATATTGGTTGGATTGCTTTCTTGGGCGTAATACATTGTTGGGACCTCCATCCACATTTCATAGTTGTAATTGGCAAAATGAAAATATGGCAAACGGCAAAACTGTCAAATCTTTTGGGTGAATTCCTGCAAATGAATGCAAATGAGGCCTATAGTATATATAGGCGCATGCTGAATGAAAGTATGACATCTCCGGGGCCCCCATACTGTTCCCATCTCCGAGATGCCAGGCGGAGGCCCTGCACCGCTGAGCTCTTGCAGGGCGCGAAGCGCACCTCGGTGCGAATCACCCAGAGACGCTTACCTCCATGAACAACCTTGCCGAGCTCCTGCGGCAGCAGGGGAAGCTGGCTGAGGCCGGGCGGAGGTCTTTGGGGTGAGAGGTGACCTTCCTGGAGGAGGTTTTTCAGGGGCATATTTTTTGTGTGGCCAAGGCCTGAGGCCTGGATTCTTTCTTTTCGATTTCCCAATATTGGTTGGATTGCTTTCTTGGGCGTAATACATTGTTGGGACCTCCATCCACATTTCATAGTTGCAATTGGCAAAATGAAAATATGGCAAACGGCAAAACTGTCAAATCTTTCGGGTGAATTCCTGCAAATGAATGCAAATGAGGCCTATAGTATATATAGGCGCATGCTGAAATCTCCGGGGCCCCCATACTGTTCCCATCTCCGAGATGCCAGGCGGAGGCCCTGCACCGCCGAGCTCTTGCAGGGCGCGAAGCGCACCTCGGTGCGAATCACCCAGAGACACTCACCTCCATGAACAACCTTGCCGCGCTCCTGCGGCAGCAGGGGAAGCTGGCTGAGGCCGGGCGGAGGTCTTTGGGGTGAGAGGTGACCTTTCTGGACGTTTCACCAAGGGCACTTTTTGTTTTGGCCTGGATTTTCTTTTTGTTTCCTGGTATTGTTGGATGATTTTTGGGCGAACTAATGCACATTTATTCACGCGAATGAATGTAGGACATGGCTGGAACCCAATCTGCAAAATTGTTACTTTCAGTTGAAACTGACAACCCAAAAATTCGGGCAAATCAATGACATGCAAATGAAAAGGCGCATCTTGAAATTGGCAACCCACCAAAACAATGGAATTGATGCTGATATGTTAGTTTGCATGCCGCAAAGGGCGTGCTTGACAGGCACCTTTTTTTAAGTCCAAGAACTCCTCCACACCTTTTCCCCCTTTCTTAAATCGGTTGCAGGACGTGAGACTTTGGATTATATGCCCACGCCACCTGTCGGATCTCGGGCCGCCAGGCGGAGGAGCTGCAGCGCAAAGCCCTCGCGGGGCGAGAAACACAACTCGGTGCCCGCCATCCCGCCACGCTTGGGTCGATCAACAACCTTGCTTTGGTCCTGAAGCAGCAGGGAAAGCTTGATGAGGCCGGGCGGAGGTCTTTGGGCTGAACAGAGGTGACCTTAATTGAACCAGAGGGAAAGGCTTGGATGTTGTCTTGTTCCCCACTATTCTTGGATAGTAATTTTCGGGTGATTTATTGCCCATGAAACGATGTGACAAGTGATTCATTTATGCATTTATTTATCATCGCTGAAGTCTATATATATATATATATGCGAAGACCAATGAAATGTAGTTTTTTTTTCTCCAAGGTGCCCTCTACAATAGGTCCTTGATTTATATTGGGCTTCCAAAACATCTCATGTGGATCCGGGGCGAGTTTTGATCGATTTGCTTTGCGTTTCAGATCTAGCGACATCTAGCGATTGCCCAGGCACCCAGATTGCAAGAGGGATCTTGTCATTGCATATGGCAAGAACGACTAGAAATCACACATCGAGCGCTCATGTGAGATATGGAGATATGTGAGGAACCTACGAAAGTCCAAATCATTCCAAATCTATGAACATGATTCGAAATGCCAAAGAGGTTTGGGGAAAGTCTTCAAAACATTGGACAAGACATGGGTGACCCAAAAAGGGTGCCAACAGGTACAGGCCCAGCGTCCCCAATGACATTTGAAGTTTTTAGGCTTGGTTTGAGTTGATGGATTTCGGATGACAGTACAGGCACTTGATTGACTGTGACAATAGCACCAGTTCAACTGAACCTGTGAGTAGAGTATTCCTTAGAAAATACGTTATATGTATATAAATAATAATTATAAATATATTACTATATAATGTACATAAGATTGAATTATCCAAACTACCCACACGCCCACATGATACTGTATTGGTGAGGTTCTCATGGGCGCTTAGTTATGTAATTCATGTGATATTCATGATGTATTATACTGTGATGTTTTTGTTGGGCGTTTGGGATGGCAGATCATCCGGGCAATTATAGCCTCCGTGATCACCCCGGCGTTGTTTCATGAGAGCAGGCAGATGTTAAGTAGGGACGCGGATTATGATAGTCTCCTGGGGATTGTCAATACAAAAAAGCCTTTGGCAAGCGCTTGACAAGTGTGGGACAGGTTTTGGCTTAAGTTTAACGGTGAAGCATTTCCCGCAGGGGCGAGGCCCCTTGAAATCAGACAAGCACGCCACCAGGCCCCCATGAAAACCATTGTGATTGTGGAAACATATATCCGTGCATTGATTGGGTGCCCATTGTGGCACATTGCTGTGCACATAAAAAATAAGAGGTGCAACGCGGATATCAAAAGCCATTTCACAAAAAATGATTTTGGCGATCCTTTAAAGCTGATTGTAGTGAATTCAAAAAATTCTTTAAAGGTGCTTGGAATATCACTCTAGTCCAAGAACTGCGGCCCTCCACGAGACCTGTGCCCTCGTGCTCCACCTCAAGCCGTGAGGCTGAAGGGCTGCACCGCCGAGCCTTGGAAGGCCGCGAGTCCCAACTGGGACCCCAACACCCGGAGACGCTCAACTCGGTTAACAACTTGGCCGTTCTCTTGGAGGAGCAGGGCAAGTTGGAGGAGGCCGGGCTGAGGTCGTTGGGGCTTGGGGCACGCAGAGGTTGCGGAAGTGTCGAGGGGGAAGCCAGTTCTCGATTGGCCAGGACAAGGGCCCTGGTGAGTTTTCCTGCTTTTCCAGTTTCACTGGAGCAATTTAGAAACTTTTTCTCCGGAATCCAAGCTTTGATTGGACTTAACTTGTTTAGCTGGGTTGTTGGATCATAACAGCAGTACATGCAAATTTTTGTGCCGGGGTAGATCAACATTGTTTTGCAAAAAGTGACGATGCATATAGAGCTTTGGCTGATGCATCGATCATGTGTGCCAGCAATGTGAGCAAACACTGTGAGTAAATTGAGTAAATTGATGCTTCTTGGCATCCCGTGAATTCAAAGAGTGCTTGACGAGCGCTTGGAATAGTATGTTCTCACTATAGTCCAAAAATTGTGGCCTTTGTTGGCTTTTTCTTCCCTTTCCATGACCCATGGGGCCTGAGCCCGGGCTCTCTTCTCATGTTTCACCACCTTAGCGCTCCATCTCGAGCCGCGAGGCTGAAGGGCTGCACCGCCGAGCCTTGGAAGGCCAAGAGTCCCAACTAGGACCGCAACATCCCAGCACGCTCGTCTCGGCTACCACCCTTTCCATGCTCTTGGAGGAGCAGGGCAAGTTGGAGGAGGCGGGGCTGAGGTCGTTGGGGCTTGGGGCACGCAGAGATTGCGGAAGTGTCGAGGGGAAGGCAGTTCTCGAGTGACCAGGACAAGGGACCGGTGAGTTTCTTGTTTCCAAGTTTCACCGGAAATTTAAAAATTCTGTTTATGAGAAGTGTGATTTTGCATGTGGGACTCGTCTTGGTAAGTTTACTTTGAAATGTAATGTCCGACAGCATTGTCGCCGGAGAATTTGATGAAATGACCCCACAAGACGCGGGCCAAGCAAGCAGGACGTGCCAGGGTCGCAAACTCATGAAACTGTTTCTCCGGAATCCAGGCTTCGGCTGTATATAATCCGTTTGACTGGGTTGTTGCATCTCAACAGCAGTACATGCATTTCGTGCAAGGGTAGATCAACATTGTCTTCCAAGAAGTGAGACTTGGTAGCTCGGTTCTATTTAGAGCTTTGGCTGATGCATCGATCATGTGTGCCAGCTTCACGCAGTACAAGAAAAGCCTTCACCTTGGCTTCGTGGTTCCCACCATCCCATCCTATGCAGATCAGATTTGCAGGTTTTGGTGTTTGAAGAATCAATGTGCCACACTGCACCAACAACACATTGCCTTACACCAGTTGCGGATCACAGCACAAGGCTCATCTCGCCACGGCATAGGAAGCCACCCCGCTGACATCCATCCACAACCCTGCGCCAGGCGGAGGGCCTTTATCGCAGGGCCCTGACGGGGCGAGAAGGTCAGCTGGGCCCCGTGCATCCGGACACCCTCAGCTCCGTCTACAATCTCGCAGATCTTCTGGAGGTGACAGGCTCCCTCACAGAGGTGACGGCTTCTCATTCGAGTTGTGGCGTTGCTTGGGGCGGTTCTGCTTGGATCAGGGGGAGATAGGTCTCCTCACGGGCCTCCGGGCACGCACGGGCACACGGGCACACGAGGAATCCACGGGCACACGGGCACACAGGCACACGGGCACACGAGGAATCCACGGGCACACGGGCACACGGGCACACGGGCACACTGGCATCCAGAGGCCACGGGCACACG